AAGTTTTACCAAAAGATGCTTGGATCTCAAGTTATGATTTTGTGAACAAGGATCCATGAAACTTTTAACTTAGTGAAATTTTGCCCTAGTTTAGGCAGGATTTTGACCTATCTTCATGGCAATTTTTCACCTAGTTACAATTGGAATCTCAAAATTCATTTCAAATATGGATTGTAGAGCATGTTACAAGCTTTCCAAAATGTCAGAGAACTCTCTAAAATCATTTGTGGTTAGGGAGAATCGAAGGTTTGAATTTGGAAAAATGTCACTTTGATCCATGGCATTTTTCATGTTGACACAAGTTACAATTTATGTCCAGCCATGCTTGTACTTACTTACAGGTCCTTAAACCCTTCCACACTCAAAAATTGAATACAAACACATTGGTTAGAGGCATTGTTCTGAGCTTTAGAGGATTACACAAGGGTTTAATCCATTTTTGGCAAAAAGGCAACAATGTTATTTTCATAAAGCACAACTTTATGCATTTTTGTTTCTCTTGAGCATTGGACCATTCTTTCACAGCAAACAAAGTCCACAAAGATAGGGAAAAGTATACCAACTTTGTGCAGACCCTAAGCTAGATGGTACAAGCCTTTGCATGGTCACTTCTCATTTTTGCTTCAAAACCAAGAAACCTTGCAAAAACCATAGAACTTTGGTATCTGTTATAACCAAGCTTTGTAAACATTTCAAACAAGTTTTGCATATCACATTGAGCCAGAAATACGAGCTATCCAGTCCTCAAACACCCTTGAACACCAAAACACCAAAAACTTGCAAAATAGGGCAGCTTATGCATTTTGATTTCCAAAACAAAAACTACTCGCATTTTGCCCCAAATATCTTCCAACACACTCCACACAACCTACCTAAGTTATCCCAACCATTGGCCAGCAACTGTAACCTTGTTTTCAAGCTTCACCATTTCTGAATTCTGACTATGCAGGTTGACTTCTGCAAGCTTATTCAAGCAAGTTCAAAGCAAACTAAGCATCGGGGAAGGTCAGAGGAAGTTCAAGCAAGCTCACAAGCATACCAGGCCTCACTGAAAACCCCTACATTGCCATACTCGAGTTCAACTGAATCAGGTAAAGTTCAAACTTCTATCTCTCTATTTAGGAAACATTAGGCTTAGGTTTGTGAATAAAAAATGTAGTACTTATTGCCCTTAAGCTGTACATATGCATAGATTTCATTTAAGTTAACTGTGTTGGGAGAATTTAAATGATGAACTTTTTGAAAAAACTAGGTTAGAAATTAGGGCCAGAGAAGTTCTCTCTGGTCTTTGAGAGTTAGATTAAGTTTTTTACATGGTTAGAATCGTATGATCATGCTCTATGACTTTCATGTTACATGTTTTTGTTTTTAAGCATTGAAATAGGAGATACGAATTTGTACATAGCGCGCGTTTTCTTGTTCAAAGGTTGAAGACGAAGTTGGACTTGGGTTGGGCCTAGGATTTTTCATTATTTGCACCCCTGACTTGCTTCTCACACCCCCTTGGCCCATTTGATTTTATTTTGTATATTTTTCTATTTCTTTTTCATTTCTGACTTTATTTTATTCTTCTAAACATAAAAAATTACTAAAAATATTTTCATAAATTTTCACTTTTTTATTTTTTTATTTTTTTATTATTTTTTCTAGCATAAAAATAGTTTCTTTAATAATATACTTTTATTTACTTAAATAAAAACTTGTAAATATTACAAAAAATATTATATATTTTATTTTTATTATTTATATACTTAAATGATATTTTCTCATATATTTTCATTTTTTAACATTTGTATATTTTTTTTTATTTACTTTATTGTACATAAATAAATAATTATAATATATATATTTTCTTAAAACAAATTAGGGTTTCCATCCTTAATAAAAATAATCTTTTATTTTCTTTTCTTTTCAATACATTAAATAATTTATTTTTACATACATAAAAATAATACAAAAAAAAACCTTTTTTTTTGCATATTTATAATATATTGCATATTTATTTAATTGTCCATTTAAATATTTGCTTATTTGTTATTTGAACAAAGAATTCAATTTGGTTGTAATAATCTTAGGGTTTTAATTTCTTGCAAATAATCCCCTATTCAAAATTGTATCCCCCTCCCCATATCAATGTTGTAATAGTTGTAGATTTACTTTTACGCATTTATAGCTTTCAAATATGCCATGATAGAAAGATTAGGGTTTGTATGCAAAAATCCAAAATTAACAAATAGCTTGACGTAATACAAGACAAAAAAGCATGAAAATTGACAACACAATGCACACAAGCACCCTTAGGGTTCACCCACTTGTTTCCTTTAAAATGGCCATGGTATGCATGCTAAGTGTCTTGGCAAAACAAAATCAAAACAAAAGATCATAGTCTCTCGATGACGCTATCTTGGTTGCCTATACAAAAATGATCTAGTCCCTCAAAAAACTTGCTAAGATACTTAGCACTATTGTTATCATGGTCAATACGATGACTTGCGTCTGTCCCGTTTAACATCCAAACACAAGGTTGTTTACCAAATGCAGTAGTAAAACAACATTATCAAAGGGTTAAAATGTGTAGGAAAGATCTTTGAGTAGATAGGGTAGACAACTCTTAGTTACTTGATCAAAACTTGCAAAAAATCCTTGTTATTTTCAAACACACATCACAATACAATTTCAAAACATTTCCCAAAACAAACTTTCAAACATTGAAACATTTTTCAAAAGACAAACACCTTTGTAAAACATTCAAACAAGAATTGTTACAAAGGTTGCCTAGACAAAGGCTTCTTTTCAAAATACTTTTAAAACCACACACAAAGCACCATTTCAAACAATTGAAAAGCAAAAGCAAGTGATCTAAAACAAGTAACTAAGAGCCCATGGAAAACCATGGATGAAAAGGGTGCTAGCACCTTCCCTTTTCATAATCTATCCGCCGAACCCAAGAAAACATCTCAAAGGTCTTTCCTGTGCTTTTTGACCTTTCCTTTGGATAAATAAAAAATCGGTGGCGACTCTTCCTAAATCGAAACATTTGTGAACACAAACGCAAAACCTCAAGTCAGTTCTCCCACCGCATCACATGATGCTTCTTCTTTGGTGGAGCCAGAATGGCTTTTTCCTTTCCTTATTTCCTTGCTGACCAACAGGCTTCCTCGAGGGGTGTGACTTCCCTGTCTCCCCTTGGGATCGAGAGAAGGTGTGCTCTGCTTGCATTCCCAGCAGCCTGGAGACTTATGAAGCTCTTCCCATTATTTCATTGGTACCATAAATTTTTACAAAGTTGCTTCTTGATCGTTGTGGTTCTTTGGTGCGACATTATGCAAGCTCTCTTCTATTCGAGTGAGTCTCTCTATGATGGCTTGAGATTTTTGTTGTTGGATCAAATTGAACATACCATTCAATAATTCATGAGCTGCCTCCGATCCAAAATTGGCTTCTTGAATATGGAAATCACAGAGTGTTTCACGCCCATTGGATGGTGCATCTGGTCGGATGGACAATCCTCCTATGTAGTTTCGAGTCGCTTATTCAACATTAGATGTTGTCATGGTTTACGTAAGATTGATCGAACTTTAGAGTAGAAAGAAGATAGATTGAACTAGATGAGCGCTGACGAGACTGTGGTCTTCACGAGAGTTCAAAGGAATTAGTAGTCGTTCCCACATATTGTGGCAGTGTTCCAAGATGGAATGGGAGATATGTGGTGCCGAAGGAATGAACTCTTCTAGTGTGGCGACGAGAGTTTAAAGTACGGCATAGTATAGAGAACCTACAAGGTTAGCTCTCTAATGCACAAGTCAGTGAAGTCAAAGAGATGTAATTTAAGAGCAAGAGTGACATAATACTTAAAATGGAAAGTCGTTGAACTTATATATGAAAGAAGTTTAAAACAGTTTATGTCTAACCTAGCGTAAGATGCGGGGAGTCGTCTAATCAGATTCAACAGTAGATAATGGCAAGATCTCACCTGGTCCTTTGCTTGCTAAACAGATACTACAAATTAGGCTTCATAATTAGATCTCTTCCTTTGGGCCTTCTATTGGCCCAGAACAAAACTATATATTACCTATTATTAATAATTATATGATTTATATAAATAAAATACGGGTATCTTGCTTATCTCATTTTAAAAATGATGTATTTATATTAGGGGTGGTAAAACAGGCCGCCCGCTCCGCCTTATGTCCGTCAAAAAAATAGTTGAACGAATAAGTCTATCAAATGAAATTGGACTCAAAAATCTAGTCCATTCTGCCAAAGTGACGGGTTGACGGACGGCGGACTTACCCGCCTATTTATTTATTTTTTCTTCATATTTTTAAATAAATTAATAAGTTTTTTACATTTCAATTAAATTTTTCAATTAAATAGTTCCATGTTAAGCTTTAGAAAATGTAAGAACAAAAGTTATAACAAAAATTAATATATAAAACATTTCAACAATTATTTTTTTGTAACTTAACGTAATAGATTTTTCACATATACAACTGTTTTTTATTATTGTTAATGGGTATAAACATCTTAAAAGAACTTTAAAGTAAGTTAAATTTTGGTTGATAACACGGAGAGTTTTAATGCACTTTTTCTTTTTTCGCTCCATGTTATTACTCTTAAGTCAATAGAATCAGGTTATAGTGGGCAAGGAATTTGAATAGTATGCATAAACTCATCATATACAGAAATCTTATGGCCACTAGTACTTTACATAAAAGATTAATTACAAACAATAAGACAAATATATTAGCTTATAAAATGAAATAATCCTACAGATTGTAAATATATTCTGCCAACGATGCATTCTATTTTTCATTTATTTTTGGGCTAAAGTAAACAACTTAATACATTACAAATACATGATATTTTAACACAGATAGTTTCCTGTATATATAAATACATACAAGAATCCATAAAGTAGTTACATAAGAGCTTATTTACAACACACTAACAAGCTCATAAAAGTTATTCCTACATAATAATAATCTACCAGAATCTCACTAGGCAGCTTCAGCAAAACCAAGTTGGAGATTTCCATAGTCAAAGATAGTATGATATACCCTCATAAAAATATCACCAAGAATCCTTCAGAAAAGAAAAAGGACAAAGTTTAGAACATGATATATTATTATATTACAAGCATGATTATTGTGTACTAAGCAATTCAAGTGTATTTATGCATATGTCCGCAAATTCTAGCTAAATTGGCAGAAGCCGATATTGCTAGGTTGGACACCATCACCAGGGCTCGAACCATAATATTCATGGTTGTGTTTGAGTTTCTAGTGGTTATGTTCACTTCACCTACGTTGCTTAAAAAAGGTGTATTGGTGTATATAATTAATGTTGTAAGAGTGACATACCAGAGAGGACCCCTTGGAGGAGGAATGTCAAAAGCAATAAACCCACTAAGACAGACTTCTGCAAGACCTTCTCCAGTTTTCAAAATATACTGAAAAGTACCAAGCATTTTCAGAACCAACAAATAAATAAAATATCTACAAAATCAAGAGTTAAGATTTCAAAAGCTAACGTGCTCTGGACTGAGGACGAAAGATTTATCTCCAATAGTAAACGAAATATTTGGCAATTGATGAATGCTATTGCAGTCTACTACGGACTCTCCATTTGGACTTGGCAAGCTCTCGCACAGCTGCAAATAATCAAACAAAGGAAATCAATGCATCATGTAGTGAGATAAATCTAAGCAACAACTCAGGTTCTGGACAGGATCATTCAAAAGGCTTTACTTGATTCACGTAGTTAAATATTCTATCTTTGGTTGTCTTTCGTTTTAGCTGATTCTGGATCCAAACCACAAGCATCTGACAGGAAGAGCACAAAGCAGTATCTTTAGCAGATAACTCTCCCTCTTCCTTTTCAGTCACCATCTCAATTCCCATGCTGCATAAGGTTCAAAGAAAAGTTGAGTCTGTATAAGCCAAAATCTTGTAGAATTGCAATGCTAGAATAAGAGAATTTTCTAACCTCTTTGATTGATCTCTTTTGGCACCACATAAACCAACTTGTGAACATACATCACCAGGTCGTACCTGAAATTCGAGATCGAACTCATTTAGGTTGCATAAGGGGAAAGAGCAAAAGAGTGCAAGTCAAGGCAAAAAGACAAACATTAAAGGGTGTGTAAAAGAACATACCCCTGCTACCAAGAGATCCCAAATCATTTCTCCATATTCAGTAACAATTTCCTTACATTCTACACTCAGAACCCCTTCAGCTCCAATAGCATGGTTGATTTGGGTCACAACAGTCTGAAATTAACTCGGTCGATAAAAATTGTAAATGAAAAGGTGGGAGTGAATAATATTTGAAAAAGATGTGAGTACGTACAGTTGGACCAGCAAGCAAAGATGTTCCTGAATCCACAATAGCAGCACAGCCACCTTCGCAGACACCTAAAGTTAGCATTGACATGATCCACAATTAGATGCATTTTGTTATCAAATTTACAATTACCAAAAAATCGTAAATCACTCCCTTAATTTTCAGTATTCCCCAAAATAAAACCATCATATTGTTGAAGAACAATGTAGTCACCTGTTGAGAGTCCTCCAATGAAAAAATCTCCCATTTCAATCTGAAAAAGGTATATCTTCGTGTTAAGTTTTTCTGCATTAAACTATATATTTGAAAAGAATTTATGATCAAATTAAATTCCGTTTTTTCGAACCTGCCAATAACCTTTTTGAGTGACAGGAACATATGTATGTTTTCCTTTGTAGTGATTGGGATCAGCACCACCCAAAATTAGCTCACCGCCCTTTTTAGCTTTTGGATTTCCATTGAGCCAAAAAGAGAACACCTTCTCACTTACAAGATTTTGCTGCACCATTTCGTACCTGTGATTTATAACGGATCACTAGTTTATCTACTGACATAAACACTTGTGAGTTTGTTTGGAAGAGCTTATATAGAAACAACTTATGACATATTCATAAGCTGATTTCAGCTTATTTCTATAAACTCTATGATAGCTTATGAAAAGCTTATAGCTGATATGAAAATAGTTTGACTTTATTTTATCTTGTGTTATAAAAATAACATATAAATAAGCACTTATATGATAAGCACCTATGCTATAAATGCTTAATTAAGTTGTTTACCAAAACGTGGCTAATTTAAAGGACATATCAGACTCACCAAACTGGAATAACAACGGATAGGTTGAAACATACCATACTGGGACAGCATTTTCAACGGAGATCTCCTGAAACCCAAGCCCAAGTAACCCATCAAACTTCGCTAGCACAAACGAAATACTTCCTTCACGGGTAGCCTCAATGAAATCCTACAATTTCAAGGATAACATCAAAGTTAAGTCAGTAAGAATTGACGTATAACTGTCTGCAGTAGATAAAGAAGCACTCACCACATCCTTGACAACAACATCACCAAGTTTAACATTATCTTGACTGAAAAAACCAGATATTGCTCCAGATCCATAACGTATTTTACATGATGTTCCTGAATTGACAATGAAAAAAGGATATTCGAATGTATTAAATGGCATTCATACAGAAACATGTAACTTACACTTTGCGTCATTTCATCTGCATCTAAAACTGAATATGAATATAAGTAATGACAACACAATATTACCGTTTTTGGTATATGTTTTGGATTTCTTTGACTTGTATGAATGATGGGTGAGGCAGGCAAGCTGTAAGAGAACATTAGTTAATAAGACATACAAATATAAATACATATTTTGATGAGTGACGACGCGGAAGTTAAGACTTACAGAAAAATAGCACTTGGACGATGGAACCCAAAGGTTTGAACTACCGGTATCAAATATGACATTAAAGGTTTGAGGGGGTGAGCCAATTCCAATCTCTCCGTAATATTGTGCATCCAAATAATTCTTCAAAGGTACTATAGCATCATCATCATCGGTTAGTTTCCCGGTGTAGTGATCATATGCGCCCAACACGGGTCTGCCTAACCTTTGCCTTTCTCTTACTATTCTAGCAGCTTTAATACTATCAAGATCAAGAGTTCTCTTCTTCAAATCAATTCTCATAAATCCATACGAGAAACAAGGAAGAAGTGAGCATGTTAAAGCCCACAAACAGCAAACCACCCACAAATGCTTGTGCGCCATAGGGAAAATCTGCATGATTATCCACAAATTGAAGAGAAATCAAGCAAAGCATAGGAAAAAAAAATGATAATCACAAAATAAACTTGAAAAAATAATAAAGAAAATGGAAAATTAAACCTGAAACATAGGAAAAAAATAGATAATTACAAAAAGTTAAAGTCAGCCACTATCTTCTTGTATTTTTTTTTCTGATATTTAAAGATTGAAGATTAAAATTGAAAGAGAAAAAAGTGTTACCGTTAGGAGCGTAGTGGTGATGAAGGAGAAAGTTGAAGTGGAGTAGAGAGTGGATGAATGAGTTAGAGTTAGTTGAAGAAGAAACAAAAGTATGAAGGTGTCCGGAAATAGTGGACTCTTTCCTGCTCGTACAATCAATCGATGGATATACTTGGATACTTTAAAATACACTAGTTTACTTATATATTTTAAATATTAAATACGTAATCTCGACGGAAAAATATATGCAATAATAAAAAGCGATGACCCATGCCCTCTCTTATTATTTAGTTGAGCATCGCTATTTGGTGCCACAACTTTTCATCTAATAGCGGCACGAAGAATATAAAGAGAGAAAAAATTCAGGTACGTGTATTTAGATAAGTTACATTTTTTATTTTAAAATATTATATGATACGGTTGAATATTATAATTTTATTAGATGATGGTGTAAAACTAGTTTATATCAATCGTACATTGTCTTTAATCTCTAATATAAAATGGATATGTTAAAAGTATAATTTTTTATATTGAAACAGGTTGTTGTTTGACATAAGATGTGTCGAATTGTTAGTTATCGAAATGTTGTAAGTAGGTTGATAGACACAGATTTCAATTTAGGTCTAAAATAAGTATTTTGGACTTTTGTGTTTTGGACTTTGGCTCAGAGAGCAAACTAACCTAAAACTATAAATAGATGGAGTAACCCCTATTTTTGTAACACATTGAATATTCATAAATTTTGCAGTTGCAACTGAATAAGAAAGTTTTCCACAGTTTGTAGGCAGAGAGAAACTTTGCAGAAATCCTAAATCTCTTTTTCTCTTTTAATTCCTTTTTTTTCATTGTCATTGTGTGGTAATAACAATCTTGTTCGTCAAGATTGATAGAAATTCATCATAGATTTTGGTGGATTTCCAACATCTGGTATCAAGAGCTTCGGTTGAGCGATTCAAGGAAAGCAAGAACAATGGCAATGAATCATCTGAACGGGCATTTTCCAACAAGCCTTTCAATTCTTAAAGCTGATAACTATGAGAATTAGGGCAAGCAGGTGAATATTGTGTTTTGTTGTCAAGATCTTTGGGATCTTGTGAAACATGAATTAGAACCGCTTGAAGAAGACGCTTCAGAAGAAGAAGAAGAAGAAGAAGAATAAGAGGTGGAATATAGAGAATCAAAGAAGAAGAATTATAAAGCTCTATTTCTAATGCATCAATGTCTGAATCCAGACAATTTTGAAAATGTTAGTGATATAGAATCTACAAAAGAAGCTTGGGAAGTTCTGAAGAAATCGTTTAGAGGCGCTAAGAAGGTGAAAGAGGTGAGGTTACAAACTCACAAAAGAAAGTATGAATTGCTTCATATGGAAGATAGCGAGAGATATCTGATTTCTTCACTAGGATTATGAAACTAGTGAATCAAATCAAGTTTTGTGGAGAGACGCTAACAACAAGAGCAGTTGTTTCAAAGATCTTGAGATCTTTGGCTCCGAAGTTCGACCATGTGGTAGTTTCCATAGAAGAGTTGAAGAACATGTCAACTTTTTCGAAGGAAGATCTTCAAGAGACGCTTCAATCTCATGTACAAAGAATGGCTGAAAGAGCTGCAGGCAAGTCGAAGAGTGATGTGGCTATGCAGGCGCAGTCATCAAGAGACAAGAAAGGCAAAGGAAAGTGGTTTGACGACAAAGATAGAGGAGGCTACAATAATTCGATTGATAGAGGAGATCAGCAGGAAGGAATTGTGTCGAATGAAAGAAGACCCTCAAACAAAGGCAACCAAAGAGGTGGTGTTGGAGGTAGAGGAAGAGGTGGTGGTCGAAAACCTGATAAGAGTCACATTCATTGTTTTAATTGTCAGAAGTATGGTCATTATTCTAGTGATTGTCCAGAAAAGCAAAAGAATCAAGAAAGTGATGTAAAGTTTTCAAAACATGAAAAAGAAGAGATGATGTTGATGGTCACAACAAGAGATGGAGATAGATTCAAGGACCAATGGTACTTGGATTCAAGATGCTCATCACACATGTCTGGAAGGAAATATTGGTTTGTCAACATAAAACCCTTGATGAAGAACATGGTGAAATTAGCAAATGACAATACCCTAGCAGCTAAAGGTATTGGTGATGTTATGATTATGAGGAAAATGGCAAGAGGTTAGTAATTTTCAATGTGTTGTACATACCAGGCATGAAGAGCAATTTAATCAGTATAGTGCAGTTGGTCGAAAAGAACTATAAAGTTTCAATCAAAGACAATATGATAAGAGCCGTTGTTGGCTCCCAAATTCGATACTTACTATATTTGGTCTTTTAGACCAAAAAACTGGAGTAAACTAAGTCAAGAAGAATATTTGACGTATGAAATAACTTAGGAGAAAATCTAAGTTATTTTTTAGCCTTCGACCAGGGCTTACCTTCAGGCCTGTTCGACTGAAGAGGACTTATGTCCTTCGACGGAGAGAAAGTATCTTCGTTTTGACACGTGATACGAGGGATATTTGAATTTGAATTATTAGAGGGAAAGGCAGTTTCGCCAGCGGCTAAGAAGAAGCAACGTGGCTGAAAGCCATAGGTCGAGGGACATGCAGAAGACACTTGTCTTCATCTTAGCGCAGAATGATCCCTTGACGGTTACTTATGTTTAGTATAAATTAGGAAACTTGTGTAGTTTTTAAGTGTGTTCAACCTATTGTACTAGTCACTCAAACATTATCCAAGTAACCGCTGCGTGAGAAAGGATAAAACTGAGAAATGTACGTTGGAAACACCTCTTTTCATTAATGAAAGTCTTTTGCATTGCTTTAATATTATCTTGCAAAGTTATCTTTCTTGCTTCTTTACTTGCATTTCTACTTTCCTGTCTATTCTTCTAAAAATCTCAAACATCTTTTCTCTGGGTCGAACGTGCGTTCTTCCTGTTTATCTGTATTACATAAAAATTAGCATATGTTCTGGGATTAATCTGATCGATCTCGTAAGTAAACCAAAAAGAACTTTTCTTTTTGGAGATCAGCGGTTGTTTACCAAAAACAACGGTAAACAAATTGGCACACCCGGTGGGACGTTGCTAATTTTTATTAAAAGTCTTGTTTATGTTATTGTGTTTTTCCTGTATAGTTATAACATTGCATGTTATTAAGAAGTGGTAGAGTAACCAACAAGTATACTGTTAGGAAGGAAAATAGTGAGAGTAGTATGGCTAACGAGCCAAACCATGGAGAAATACCTCCACCAGTCACATAAACAGTGGTTACTACTACTGTCAAAGGGAATATCCCAACTTCTATTGGATCAATGCCAACGCTAACCACGAATCAAACTGGACCCTTACTTTCGTATGTAGGACCAAGAGGTCCATTAGGAACACCTCCACCAAGGGTAAATCTAGGATCTCGATCAGTTGTTCCCCCAGGATTTTCGACATCCTGGATGGGTCGAGAGCAGCCATATGGCATAACAACTACTGAAATGGATAGCCTTATGAATGCTGCTTCCACTTTTTCAGAACCTTTGGTGAATGCAACATCGCCATTACAGGGGTCTGGAGCCAGTAGAAATCAATTTTTGGGAGGGCCATCTCATGTAATACCTAGCCTCACAAATGTTTCGACAGCAATTTTGAGGCAACAGATGGACGAAAGTAATCATGAAATGGTACAAATGTTAGCACAAACACGAAGTACAGTGTTAAATCCCCTTATTCAAACTGCTACGCAGTCGAATCAACAAATGACAGCGTAAATGACGCGCATGGCTGAATTCTTTAGGGTACCCCAAGTTGTTCGACAACCCCAGAGAATACCAATAAGAGCAAATCAATGGGTAATCACGGAAGAGGATTTGACCGTTAATCCAAACCCCCAGATTCCTAGAGCAGAAATAGAACAACCAAGGGTCGAAATACCACGACACCCTAGAGAAATCGATCAAGGAGTTATTATGGCTAATAGAAACCAAAACACTGACGAATTAATACAGCAAGTTCGACACCAAAACTATGGGACGGACAATAATTTAACTGCCATGATCGAAAGGATTATGCTTCAAAACGGGATGAACATTGGTTTTCACAGACCAAACTTTACATCCCCATTATCAGAATATATTCTGCAAACAGACTTACCACCTAGGGGAAAATCCAAAAGTTTACTAAATTTTCAGGGGATATGACAGAGTCCACTGTCGAACATGTGGCTAGATATTTGATAGAGGCCGGGGAAATAGCAAACAACGAAAGCCTTAGAATCAAATATTTCCCAAGTTCCCTAACAAAGAATGCTTTCACTTGGTTCACCACCCTCCCAGCCAATTCGATCCACAACTGGAACCAATTGGAAAGATTGTTCCATGAACAATTCTACATGGGCCAAACCAAGATAAGTCTAAAAGAATTGGCTAGTGTGAAGAGAAGGTTTACAGAGCCAATTGATGAATATTTAAACAGGTTTCGATTACTAAAAGCCAGATGCTTTACCCAAGTGCCTGAGCATGAATTAGTCGAAATAGCAGCGGGGGCCTGGACTATTCGATTAGGAAAAAGTTAGATACATAATACCTTAGAGATATGGCCCAACTAGCTGATAGAGTTCGACAAGTAGAACGCCTTAAAGCTGAGAAAGCTAAAGTTGCCAAAACTCATCGACGAGAAAGGGTAGCTTATGTCGAAATGGATGATAATGATCTAGAGACATCTAGTGATCCTATAGATGTCGAAGAAGGCGAAATAGATTTAGCAGAATTAAAACAAGGACCACCATATTCTTGTAAATTGCTAGTGCCA